GACATAAACTTATTTTTAATCTAACTTGTGCTGCAAGAACACATTTTTTGATTTACCTAGTGTTTTTCTTAATTTTACATCAAAGTGAGATTGATAAGGATCGAACTCATGACATACTAATCATTCGAACTTTGATACCAGAATAAATTAATATTTCAACCCAAAACTCTAAGGGGTTAGGTCAGACTTAATTAATTATTTTGTATTTTTTGTGTCTCTCTAATATTTTTTATTACCAAAAAATAAAATAAAGAATCAACGTCCTCTCATAAATAGGGGTGTGCATGGAGCGGTTCGATTCAGTTATTGTCAAAAATCAAACCAAACCGGATTTAAACGGTTTGGATTTTAACTCGAACCATTTTTTTTAAAACCGGTTTTTAATTTGTCCAAACCGGTTTAAAATCGGTTTTAAAACCGGTTTGTGATTTATAACCGGTTTTGAATTAAAACCAATTTTAAATCAAAACCGGATATGAACCATAAACCGGTTATCAAGTTCAAAACCGGTTTTTTAACAAATTCAAAATAGATTTTTGATGGATTGTGCTATTTTTATAAGTAGTCGTTTGTTTCTCCCGGTTATAGGTAGTTGACCAACTATTTCTTACAAGAATCTTCATTGTTTTGGAACTCTCAGGACGAAATGATTCTTATAGAAATTGTTCATGTTGTTTTTACGGAAAACATTTCCATCAAAATTTTCAGCAAAATTTTTTGACGAAAAATATTTCCATTAAAATTTGTGACTAAAAACATATCTGTAAAAAAATTTGACGGAAAATATTTTTTGTCTAATTTTTTTACGGAATATAAATTTCGTCAAAACATTTTCCTCAAAATATTTCCAAAAAAAACATATTCATCGAAATTTTTGACGAAAAAATATTTCTATCAAAATTTTCCACGAAACACATTTCCTTCGAAAACTTTTGACGGAAAAAAATTTCATCAAAATTCTTTACGGAATTCCAATTCCGTCGAAAGTTTTCGACGGAAACATTTTCGTTGAAATTTTTAACGAAACACATTTCCATCGAAGATTTTCGACCAAAAAAATTTCGTCCAATTTTTTGATAAAAAACATTTCCATCAAATTTTTCAATAGAACACATTTCTATGAAAAAAATTCGTAAAAAATTTATGACGAGCAATATTTCGATAAAATTTGTTGACCAAAATATTTTTCGTCAAAAAATTTGAGGGAAATGATTGGAGGGAATTTAGATTCCGTAAAGAACTTTGACAAAGAAAATTTCCGTCAGAATTTTTTATAGAAATATTTTCCATCAAAAAAATTTTCTGAAATATTTTCCGTCAAAATTTTTTGCGTAAATATTTTTGGTCAAAACTTTCGCTGTAAATGTGTTTTGTTGAAAATTTTGTTGGAATTTTTCGTCGAAAATTTGAAGGAAATATTTTCGTAAAAAAATTTGATGAAATTATTTTCTGTCAATTTTTTTTATGAAAATGTATTTTGTCACAAAAATTTACAGAATTATTTTTTGTGGAAAAGTTTGACAGAATTGTTTTTGTCGAAAGTTTCGACGGAATTTAGATTCTATCAAGAATTTTGACTGAAATATTTTGTCCCTCAAAAATTTATGTCAGTGATTATGACAAAATCTTGTTTCGTCTCTAGTTTTGATGAAAAAAAATTTCGTCTCTATTTTCTACGTAATATGATTTTTGTCAAAATTTTCGACGAAATATTTTTCTTCGATAAATTTTGTTAGTATTTGAGACTTTTATAAAAATTTCACATTTAAAAATAATTCATATTTATGTAATTTTCATATTTTAATGTTAAGGATAAAAGATAATACTTATTTGTTCTTTAATTGTAAAATAGTTTAGTTATGGATAACCAATTATTTTTATGGTTTGGTAAATAATCAGTTTATAAAATAAAATGCAGTTTCATATGAAACTAATTTTTAAAGTGTGGAGTAGTTTGGTTATGGATCGATTTGATTGTTTTGGACATTTTGAACACTCTACTCATGATCATCCGCTAAAGTTTTTAAACATGTCGTTGCTGTCATTATTATAATAAGTCAATAATTTGCTTCATATTTTATGGGATTTGGTTCAAACCCGAGTGCATCATTGGTGGAAAATTCTAACAAATTTCCGTCATAGTAGCGTGGAATTCAAACCTAATTGAAGCAGCCCTAAACAGTGAACCGTCGTTTTTAAATGGAGGAAAAATGCGCAATGGAGACAAGGGAGATAAGATCACATCAGAAAAGGGGCAAGACAAGTTCTGTGGGGTAAGGACTAAGGAGAACAAATTATTATATAGCTAAATGCAAATGCCAGTCCTAACCAGAAAACTTTTGTTTCTCCAAAACTTCTTCGGTTTCTATATTGGGAAAAAGGTTATATTTATTATTACTTTTTTTGCTATATTTTATGAGAAAAGTTATACTTACTACTTTTTTTCTTACTACTTGTTATTATCAAATCTTAATCGTTGATTTCTACAAATCTAACAATTATAATTTATTGGGTCACATTTATTAATTAATTTTTAATTCTAATAAATTATAATCATTATATTGACTGAAATCAACGGTTAAGATTTGGTAGTAACAAATAGTAAGAAAAAAATTAGTAACTATAACCTCTCCCATATTTTATTGTCAAATCTTAACGGTTGATTTTTATAAATTTAACTGTTATAATTTTTTGAAATTTAATAATTAATTAATAAATATGATACAATAAATTATAACTATTAGATTGACGGAAATCAACGGTTAATATTTGATAATAAAAGGTAGTAAGAAAAAAAAAGCAGTAAATATAACCTCTCCTTTCTATCTTTCCTTTAAATCATTTCTAAAATAAAAAAATTTGAAAATAAAAGCTCTTCGACTTTTTATTATTTTCTTCATTTCCCTTGCTTAGCCGAGAAATATCATATTTTGGTTGAAAATAATTACTAACAGGACTAGGTCTAGCAAAACTATAGTGTTTTTTTTTTTTGGTAATCTAGCAAAACTATAGTTCGTTGATAGAGATATTTCATCTTAGAGCTACATGATTTGAATTATTTTTAGGATAATTTATTAACAATTAATATGTAAACTTATTATAAATCTTTATTAATAATATAAAATTTTAAGAATTTAAAAATAATATAAGTATTAAAAAAACTAGTTTAAGAACCACACAAAATTATAAAAAAAATTTACCTAATAAATTAATTTATAGAGTTTTATTCATAAAACAAGAAGAAGAAAAAATAATAATAACCCATGTTTTAACTTACTACGGTACTTATACAATTGAATTACTTCTTGTGCATCAAATAAAAATAATAATAATTACGTTAACGATTATTGTACTATTCTTTTTTGTTAGTAAATCAAAATCAGACTTAAAATTAACCCATTGTGATTATCAACTTTGAAAACAAATAAAATAAGGGAAGAATCGTCCCTTTATATGATTAATAAAGATTTATCATACCATTATGTATTACTTATAATATTAAGGGAAACATCTCCATCATCTAACTATATTCTTTCCAGACCTATTCGTATTAGCAGAGTGTGAATTAGTTAGGTCAGTCTACAGGAACCTATGACATAACCTATATTAAGTCAAACTTAACCTATTACAAATAATAAAATAGAACATGCATAGACTTTTAAAAAAATCTATTTAAAAAATAAGCCATATATATTTTTTTTGTACATGTATGGCCCATAATATAAGCCAATAGACCGACCTATATCATATTATTTATTTTAAATAAAATAAATAAAGTTATCATTTTAATAATTTTGAATAATAAAGTAATATTATTTTAGTTATTTTTTTAATTGTTGAATGTTTAATAGGCTTAAACAAGTTAACATGCCAAGATCAAAGCTTTTATTTTTTAAATATAAATCAAGTCAAACTTGTAATTTGAAGCTACACATGCTAACAAGTCAGGCTATACCAAATATTTTTTACACAGACCTTACATGTTTAAGCTAAAGTATAGCCTAACTTAACCTATTTACACCCCTACTAATTATTTTAAACCAAATCTCGTATGTACGTCGGCTAAGCAAGGGAAATGAAGAAAATAATAAAAAGTCGACGAGATTTTCTTTCTAAATATTCTTATTTTAGAAATGTTTTTAAAGTAAAGACAGAAACATCACGAATTGAATATTTGTTGAATTTATATTTTAAACACGAAATCAATAATGATTTGTCTTTTATAAGAAAGTTGATGTCAATTATTACGAGAGAAGAGATCAGTTGCCAGCAATAATTTAAGAGATATCACATAATAATTAATGTTATTACCCCATTATGAATAGGATTATCAAGGTGTTATCGTGTATGTTGTGCCTAAATTAGAAAGTATTTATTCACTATAACACGAGCATGTTCCTTCATGTCAAATTAATTTGCTTCTTTAAATAAAGCAGATGTAAAATAATCTGAATCATATATTTAATATCAAATAATGATAGTTCAGTTGGCGAAAAAAAAATTAAACAGATGAGAATATATATTTAATTCTTTTCAATATTATTGTTGTGAGGGTTTAAAATCTTAACATGGGATGCACAATAAATCGATTGGAATATTTCAAAAAAATAATAATAATTATAATATCATTCAATATGCATGAAAAAATATAAAAAAGTGGTAAAGATTTTTGTTTCCGTCGATCCACTGGTCTGTCCAGAATCGTATTTCTCTTCCATTCGCAACCTCCCAACGAACTCCCAGGAGGAAATTTTAAATATAAAATATAAATATATGTAAATTTATATTTTATATTTAAAATTTCACAAAGAAGTTTAATTGTAGTACCATTCAATATGTATGAAATTTTTTATGTTTTTATTTAAAAAAAGTGGTAAAGTAACATGCCAATTTCTTCTCTTCTCTGATTCGGAACCAAAGCTATTCTTCTGTATCTGTTAGCCGTTAAGTTTCAGTTTCCTCACCATTTTTTTTCTCAACGTTAACAATTCAATTCTCTTTTGACTCACTCTAAAATATTACTGCTACTACTATTCAATTCAAAACCCTAAATAAACAAATCTTCCACCCACCCCATTGACCTTCTTCTCTCAAAGGTTTCGCCTTGGTCCTCACGTTTTCCCCATTACCACCCTTCTACCAATTTTCTCTATTTCTACAATGTTTCTCCATTGCTCTCAATGATGGATTCTCCCTCTTTTTCTTCCTCCTCCTCTGAGTTCGCTTCCATTGCCATCGCCGATCAGGTACCACACAATTCACTCTTTTTTTCCCTATTCAAACTTTTCTCTACTTTTTTGTCCTTCTTCATCTTTTTGATTAATTTTGTTCTTCTATCTGGGTACCCAATTACTCTCTAACATCGCAAAAAAAAAAAAAAAAAAAAAAACTGTTCTTGTTTATCTGGGTACACCCCATTTACTCTGATATGGCAAAAGACTATCAATTTTCGTTATCCTTTTCACTGGTTTTCAATTTTACCCTCTAATGGCGAAAATATTATCTATTATCAATATTTTCCCGGATTTTGTTTTACGTGGTCGTTTTCAATTCTGTTGAAGAGTGAGAAATGAATTCGGTTGCTTTTGGTGTGATAGAATGGAGCCCGAAGTCGGAGAAGTGGAAGCGCCAGCGAAGTCGCGGTTGCGGAAGAGTCGCGGCGGTGGCACGATGTTTTCTGGTTAGGAATATTCGTAATCCATTTGATTGGCCTGGGATTTCTTCTGGGGGTTCTTGGCCTCAATAGGTTTGAGAAAGAGAATAGACTTAACATTGATAAGTACACCTCTCGGTTTTCTGAGAATGAAGCTGGGTTGACCGAGACTTACTGGCCCCTCTATGCTGCTGCTGGTGGAGTTGGCACTGTTCTTGGATGGAGTTGGTTGTTGTTGTTGGGTTCCCAAGCTACTCATATGATGAAGGTGTCTATTCACATCCTCACCACTTATCTTGCTGTGATCAGTGTTTTGTGTTTCTGGGCTAAGCAGTTTTTCTGGGGGGTTGCTTTTGCTATTGGAGCTGTTCTGCAGTTCTTGTATGTCATCTCGGTCATAGACAGGTATTGGCCTGATATTATCCTTTACTTGTTTTATGTTGGATTGGATTTGAGTTGTTTCCTCATGACTGATTTGGTTGCATATAAAGTGTGTCATATCGGTCATAAACAGGCGTTGACTTGAATTTTCGCATGAATATGAATATTTGGACAGTATTTTGTATCATAATATCTCAGTTATTCAGGTATATATTCACCGTCCTTTATGAACTAAAAAATGTTTTTTTCTCATAGCAGCAAGTTTGTCTAAAAGTCAATAATGCACCCGCCCATACAGGTTAAGTTTTCTTCTTTGCCTTATAAGGTAAAGTGGTTGAGTATATATTTTGAATCAAAGTCCAAAGGTAGATACTCTGTTTGTACGATAATATCGCAGTTATACAATGTCCTAGTTCGAATATATTCTCTCTTTTTCTTTTCCATCCAATCCCTACAATTTCAACAGTCTCCATTTCCTAAAATGCAAATAAACTGTTGTTTGCATATGTTCCGTTTTTAAAGATTCCCCCCGGTACAATTTACACTTTCTTGTATTCACAGATTAATGTTGCAAGTTTCTAATTTTGTAGTATAGTACTTTAGTTCCTTCAGCTGCTTCTTTTTTCCTTTTTGTATAATTAATTGAGTCTATAAGATGGTTCCTTGTGGCTTCTTTTCTTCTCCAGACTTCCATTTACGATGTTGGTTCTGCAAAAAGCTGTGAAGATGGTTTGGAGTCTTCCCGAGGTTATGAGAGTGGCATATGCGTTTATGCTTGTTGTGCTTTTGTGGATGGCCTTATGGTCATTTGGAGCAGCTGGTGTCGTGGCTTCGAGCATGGGTGATGGTGGACGCTGGTGGCTTCTTGTGGTGAGCTGGCAAGTTTTGCTCTTTATTCTATCTGTTCTTGTTGGGACTGGTTATGGCAGCAGATTACTTAAGCTTTCTTCGTCGGATTACACTGATGTTTCAATCCATGTTTACAGGTTCTCTCTGTAAGTTTATTTTGGACAGGTGCAGTACTGTGTAATACTGTGCATGTTATAGTGTCTGGGATGGTGTTTCTTGTTCTTTTCCATGGTGGTAGAGAGGCAGCATCAATTCCTGCTAACTCCTTAAAAAAATCTCTGCAGTATGCTTTAACAACATCTTTTGGCAGCATTTGTTATGGCTCATTATTTACTGCTGCTATTAGGACTCTGCGGTGGGAGGTAAGCAATCATTTTGTTTTTGTGACCAATTTGAAATTCATTTCTTTTATTAATGGAGGCTTTTCTTTTACCAAAGTTTTTACTTGTCATTCAGATACGGGGATTTCGGTCAAAGATTGGCAACAATGAATGTTTGCTTTGCTGTGTTGATTTCCTTTTCCATCTTGTGGAGACTCTTGTTCGTTTTTTTAACAAGTATGCCTACGTTCAGGTATAGTTCTGTGTCCATATCAGTAACCAGCCCTCTATATGATGGAAACTGCTTGTTCTACATGACAATCAAATTCAACAGATTGTGGATTTTTATTTAGTTTAACTACTGATAATAGTAAAGAAGGAATATGTGAAAATGCCTGGGGTGAGGTTCTTTGCTTCCTCTTATTTGACTTCAGCTATTTGTAGTTTGATGCATGGATTTTTATTTTATTTTATTTTCATTATAGCCCCTTCCATTGATTCGTGGTGCATCTTTAGTTCCGCCCTCCCCTAATAGTTTGAACTTAATATTTGATCTGAGGAGTGAGGCTGGTTGTATATCTTTAAGGCAGGTGCCTTTTTTCTCTTTTGGGGTTATAAAGAAGGTCCTGTGGGAGAGGTAAACTAAGGGATTGTTGAGACTAACTGGGGATCAAATGCGGCTTGAAGTGCGTCGAGTAATTGAAATGTAGCTTATAGGCAACTTGTGTTGAAGTTTGTTGAATGTATTGGTTCTTGGAAAACTTACCCTGGCATGGTTCAATGATCATGTCCCTTACAGATTGCTGTTTATGGTAAAAGCTTTAACCGTTCGGCTAGAGATGCCTGGGAGTTATTCCAGTCAACTGGAGTTGAAGCACTTGTGGCCTATGATTGTTCAGGTGCTGTCCTGCTAATGGGCACCGTTTTTGGTGGGCTCATAACTGGAACTTGCTCTGGTATATGGGCATGGGTTAAATGGAGTGACAGAGTTATTATGATTGGGTCCACGTCCATGCTCATGGGGATGGTACTGGTAAGTTTACAATTACAACCTCACGTTGTGAATTATTATGATTGGGTCCACGTCCATGCTTGTTGAACTTTTTTATTTTCTAAAATTGGCGAGTAACACTGAATTATTATGAATAAACCAGTTTTGTGACTGATTGGGTTGCATCAGTATAATTGCTTCAGTCCTGTGGGCTTTTCCATAAATCAAAAGGCTTAATGACGGCATGCCTTGCTTACCATTTCCCTGTTCTACGTTTTTGACTTTGAAAATATTCAAGCTGTACATTGTTGAATATGTATTTTTTTTATTTTTTTTCTGTATAGCCAAATGATGACATGCCTTGCGTATTATTTTCCTATTGTATGTTGACTGTGAAAATGAGTGAAGCTGTATATTGTTGAATACGTGATTTGAGATGAAACAAGTAATTTTCAGGTTGGATTGGCAATGGTTGTGGTGGAAAGTGCTGTTACATCCATATATATATGCTATGCAGAAGACCCCTTATTGATTCATAGATGGGACCCTGAATTTTTCAACCAGATGTCTGAAACACTACATCAGCGACTTCAACATAGGAGTGCTAGAGCTAGGGAAGTTTTAACCCAAAATCGATTCGATGACCGTATACGAGAAAACGCCTCTATTTGAGGAATCACATTGTTTTGTACTACTACAGATTATTTATCCATTATATATAAATCATATCAATAGCATATTTTTCCTTTTTTCCTTTTTGTCTCGTGGTTTTAATAGGGTAATTTTCATATTTCGAGTATGCCTTGGAGAAAGTTTCTAATGGTGCAGTGTGGCTATCGGCCATGTTGGATGTGAAAAGTCCGTGGTTGCCTCGTGGTCTTTTTATATCAGAAATGGGAGAAGAGAAGTACATTGGAATGTTTTGAAGGGCCTTCATGTGCGCGAATGAATTGAATATATAGACTAAATGAACAGTTCTTTTATTTTTGGCCCCACAAATTAAAGAATAGTTACATTATTGAGATTGGTGTGAAAATTCCAATTCCATAATCAACATTTTCTTAAGTATATATAAATTTTGTAACCATGGATATTTTAATTTTGATATATTATTAGTGAAAAAATGTTTTACACTTACATTTACTGATGCACCATTATATCATTTAGGGGGCGTTTGGTACGTGTCATTCTCCAAGATTTTCGAGAAACCGAATTTTTTTAAATTTTAAATTTTTGAATATTATCGTAAACTGAATGTAAAAATCATATTTTTGGAAATCGAGATTCCCGGACAAAAAAAAAATTCTCCTCTTCCAAACGCTTAATGGATTTGATATGTCATCTAATTGTTGGTGATTGAAAAGGAAACTTTTTTTTTTGGTTCTTAATACTGGAGATTTTAAATGTCCTTTAGTACAATGATAAAAAAGGAAACTGGAGATTTTTTTTTATCTTAAAAAACAGTTTATAAAAACTGTTTTTCAAAATAAAACAAGGAAAGTTCTTGCTTGGAAGAAAGTTCTCCCTTGCTCCCAGGCTTCAATACCATGTTAGGGACACTTCCTGAGTAGTCCTTTGAATCTTTCACATGCTTCATATAGAGATTCACTTTCTTTTTGTTCAAAAGAAGTGATATCCGCCTTGAGCTTTGCCATTTTCGATGATGAGAAAAATTTCTCTAAAAATTTTGTTGCCAAGTCGTCCCAGTTGGTGATGCTTCCTTGAGGTAATGACTACAACCATCTTCTCGCATAATCTTTAAGCGAACAAAGGAACAATCTGAGAAAAATAGCATCTCGAGACACCCCATTCATCTTCAAGGTATCACAGTATAGCAAGAATTTTTCAAGATGGATGTAAGGGTCTTCCGTGCTTCCTCCGGCAAACTGGTCTTTTTGAATCAGTTGCAATAATGCAGGCTTGAGTTCAAAATTATTAGCATCCACGTTTGATCTAACAATGCTCGCCGTCTATGGAACTCGAGCAGGAGTCATGTAATCTCCTAACGTTCTCGGAGGTGGTGGAGGTACATTGTTGTCTCCCATTGTTTCTTCTCTTGGTTCTGTTGAGCTTGAAGCTTCTTTCTCTTGTTGTCTTCTTTCTTTAGCAAGTTTTCTGTTTCTTTTTGCTGTTTTCTCTATCTCTGGGTCGAATTGCAAGGAATCGGTGTCAACGGTACCTCGCATAAACCAGAAAATAGATTATATAAAATAAAAATAAAACTGAATTTAAATAACAGAAAATAAGGTCTAATCTAAAGAATTAATAGCTACTATTAATGTTGAAATAGTAATCCCCGACAACGGCGCCAAAAACTTGTTGCTACTCACGACAAGTGCACCGATCGTACAAGTAATATAATGATTGAATAAGAGATCGTTCCCACGAGGATTACGATTCAAGCACTAATTCACTATCGCGAATTTAGTTGAACTATCGAAATTATATTTGGAAACAGAATTTGAATTGCAAAATTAAAATATTAACTATTAAACTAATTACTCGCAAGAATTAAAGACAAGAAAGTAAAGATTTTGAATAAACTGATAAAATAAAAACGTAGCTAGGGTTTTGATTTCCTTCAATCTCTTTATTACATTTGAATTCCTTCCTTACGTTAATCGTCCTTAGTATCAATCTAACCAATTCTTTCGCATGTAATTAGGGCTCAATCCCTTGTTACCCTAAAACCCTTTACAATCTTGAAAGAATCCTAGTTCCCCGGTTATTCCCCAAGAATGCAAGCATTAAGTTCAAGAATCTTAAAGATTACGCAAACTCTATGTCTATCCCTAGAATCATAAAACGTACGATGAAATTATCAGATAAGGATCACACATCAACATTCCTATTGTCATGCATTTACCTATGATCATTATATAAGATTCAAGCTTATATAAAGCATTAAAAACAGATAATTTCATTCATGATATAAAGGAAAATTAGCATATGAATTGTTCAAAGCATAATAAATTGATTGAATTCCATCTAACCCTAACTACTTAAAGATTTAGCCGGACATAGCAAAATCAAGAACAAAAGACAATATAAAAGCTCCTCCAAACTCTATAGGTGATTGGTGAATTTTCTGTACTTCCGCAAGACATTTAATTATAAAAAGAAATAGATTCAAAATTTTCATAGAAGCACTTTGCCTTAGACATTAGGACTACAATGTTTCATGTCCACTTAGAATGGAACAAAGCAATACAGACCTCAAGCTTGCATTCTGTTTTTCAGATAAACTTATTAAAGTATTCAGATTAATTATATTAATTTATTTAGTTTAAAACAAATAAACAGTGGAAATTTTAAGCTATGCTTCTTCCTTTGAGTAACCTAATCACTTATTTTTTTTCATGTTTTCCAGAAAAACGAGAGAAAACCCGTAAAAGACAAAGCATTTCCCAATATGAGATTCAAGTACAGGTAAGTACAACACACAATTCAAATTCCACACACATTCATAGTGTGAACTTGCTGCGTAAAGAACAAGTGATGGATAAGGAAGAGGTGGGAAATGTTGGTAAGATTGGGGTGCTCAATGAAGTTAATCAGTGTTGCATGCAAGTGAATGAAAGGCTTTTCATTTGTAAGGCTTTTTCATTTGTATTTTGGATGATCGCACAAATGGAAAATTAGAAAGAAGCAAAATGTGCTAACACCATTGAAGGAGGAGGAAGAAAACGAAAGATGTGCTCACACTTGCAGAGCCCAAACACCATGGGTAAGGATAGTGTTTGATTAATACACTTTTGGGGTGTGTTCGTACAAGAGTATCAAAAATATTATTGGTAAACCTTCTTTGCTAAACTTCAATTACCATGTTTGGTAGAAGTAACAATTCTTCGTTGTGTTTTCGGTGTTTGCACAACAAAAAGTAAAAATCAGGTTATACTTTATTAGAAATTATTGGATTGTACTTTTTAATTAATTATTAATTCTTAATAAATTATAATCGTTAGATTGACTGATTAAATTGGCCCCAAAAAACTAAAACCAAAACACCTCAAAGCTGTTATGTAATTTCTGTTTTAAAAACTAAAATTGAAAAACTGCTTCGAAATTTTTTTATACTAAACAATTGGTATCAAGTAACTTTTTTTGTTTTTAAAAACAAAAATATGTTTTACAAAACACTTATCAAACTGTTTTACAACCAAAAAACTTTGGAGTTGTATATTTTTATTTGGTGAGTAAAGTAATTGCATTTGTTGAATTATTTTCCAAAATCATAGACTTCCAGCCTTTAATGAATGAGGAATCAATGTAAGATTGTGTAAGAATTAGTAAGTATCTTGTGAGTATATTTTTAAATAAAAAAATTCAAATTCAAAATATTAAAATTAGAAATGGATTATGTGCAATTAGTTTAAAATGAAATTTTAAAATTAAATATTAAAAAATTAAATTAAATATATATAGAATTAATTTAAAAAATGTAAAAAAAGAAGAAGAGAAAATTAATCAGTTTTAAGAGGGTAATATTTTTCTCTATTTCTACATACATACTGAAATTTAAAATTTGATCACTTTTAAGAGAGTAGGATTAGTTTTTCGGCAAAAGTTTACAATATATACTTTATTTAAAAATATAAATTTGACTCAAAATAAAAAATTGAATATTTGATAACGATACTTAACTGTTAAAAATGTACAATAGTTTAAAAATGCAGAATGTACCAGACTATTTTTTATGAAAAATCACGACATATAAACTTGTGATTACATGAGGTAATATTTCATTTACAAAAGTATTACTGCACAGAGCTCTCAAAAAAAAAATGTGAGTTTTGCTAACCAAGAAAAAAGCAGAAGAGAATTTTATTACTTGATGAGAAGTTTTTGAGAATTTTATCTGTACATATTATTTCTTTTTTCTCAACCAACATAACACCTCCGATCACCGTCAAGTTCAACCGACTCTTATGGAGCGTTTGGTACAGGAAAATTTTTTATTTATTCAGGAATCTTGATTTTTAAAAATATGATTTTTACATTCAGTTTACAATAATACTCAGAAATTTAAATTTTAAAAAAATTTAATTTTTCGAAAATTTTCTAAAATTTCGCATACCAAACAGCCCTTATATACTAACGAGAAATAGAAGGCCAAACGATAACCGGGGTTCAACATTAAAAAAAAAATGAGAAATAAAAGTACTGTTTATATACTAATGCTCAATGAACCATTGATTATTGATAGAGATTTTAGTTTGAGATGGAAAGATGTGATTTGTCGTAGGGGAAAACTTTTCGCATTTTATAGGAAACAATAAGTTATTTCCTACTCAAATAAAAATGTGGGGTCACCAATTTTTTTAAAAAATAAAAAATAATTTTTTTTTTTAACACAAAACTAGATATGAGAGTAGGAAATGTTTCTTTTTAACTTGAAATGAGACAATCATTGCCCTTTGTTATATGAGTTTTATAAGAATTATGTTGTAGGAAAAATGATTGTATTATATTATAGAAATTTGTTTTGCATGTCATAATTTTTTTTCCTTCAAAACATGAGTCCCACAGAATGTTGTGAGTGTAGGAAACTTTTTGTGGTCATGTTAAATGATGAATGCAAACCCTTTGTTATATATAGTGTAACGAGTTCTATTAACCAATAGACGTCCAGGAACGCATTGAATATTTTATAATTTAAAATAAAATTATAA